CCAGAGGAAGAAGGAGCAGGGGAAGAGCTGAGCTTTGAAGTCCACCCATGAGAAGTCAGGCCCTTGAAGAACAGGGGAGACGTGACCTTGTCCCGCACCCTTGCCACACTCCAGGAGCTGCTGAAGGATGGGAAGAGAGAGACCACCATCAGCCAGCTGCTCATCAACCCCACAGACCTGGACATCGGGCGCGTCTTCACCTGCCGCAGCATGAACGAGGCCATCCCTAACGGCAAGGAGACGTCCATCGAACTGGACGTGCACCGTGAGTGGGGCCTGCGGACGGACGGGCTGGGTGCGAGGGGGGGAGAAGGCATGGGTAGCCTCTGGGAAGCACAGGCCTCTGGAGCAGAGCTCCCTTTGAACCAGGGATGCTGAAGACCAACAGCAAAGGGCATTGTGTGCACTGGGGCAGGCCTTGCATTGAAACTGGTGTGTGCCTTAGGGCAGTGAGTTAACCTCTCTCAGCCTCCGCTTCAGTTTCTATACAGCTGTGAAAAGTAAAGCACAGACCCCCCCCCCCATATCCACAATCCACATTTGCAAACTAAAGTGATTTGGTGAAGAAACTTGAACCCAGGTCTGCTAACTTCAGTCCTTTCCCAGCACATGTATCTATGTGTGTCATTGTGGGGTGTTGCCCAGATGCTGCTGGGGGGTGGGGTTTCTTACAGAATAAAGAACCTACACATTACATTGTCTCCCTGAGATTTCAATAATTCTAAACTTCAAAATACTTCCGATCCCACGGGTTTCAGATAAGGTACTGTGGACCTCTTGGTGCTTCTTGAGTTGTGACCATTAAGTAAAGTATAGCGTAAGAGCATCGAGCAGAGAATGTGTATACCTAGTAGGTGCCCCATACTTCCCTCTGCCCAGGGAAGAGTGGATGGCAATTTGTGACGCCCCCAGGCTGTCCTCAGCCCTTTTAGGAAGCTAAGCGAGTCCACACTGGCGCCTAGTGGTCACAATGTGTCATTGCAACCCCTGGTCTCTGAAGCACCGAGTTTTATAGTCACCTTAGCCAGGCTCCTTGTAGAAAAGCTGAATGAAGTGAATTGTGCTTTATTGAGCTGATGTGTTGAAACCCAGATTCTCGTGTCACAGCAGAATTCTGTGAGTATATGTGCTAGGAAGGGACCAAAAAGACCCTGCTCTCCTGTCCCCTACTTTGCAGATCCCCCTACTGTGACCCTATCCATCGAGCCTCAGACGGTGCAGGAGGGTGAGCGTGTGGTCTTCACATGTCAGGCCACTGCCAACCCTGAGATCCTGGGTTACAGGTAAAAGGCCTGCGGCTGGGGCTAGGGTTGGAAGCTGTACCAGGGAAGCCCTGAGACCAGCAGTGGCAGGCACTGGGAAAGTCATTTCATTGGGCACAGAGACCACCCTTAACCCCACCTCTCCACTTCTCCCTTCCACAGATGGGCCAAGGGGGGGTTCTTGATTGAAGACGCCCACGAGAGTCGCTATGAGACAAATGTCGACTATTCCTTCTTCACGGAGCCGGTGTCTTGTGAGGTCCACAACAAAGTGGGGAGCACCAATGTCAGCACTTTAGTGAATGTGCACTGTGAGTACTGAGGGCCACAGGCGGGGGTGGAGGGGAGACCTTGTGAAGCTGAAGGCAGTGGGCGCATAAACACGGGGAGCAGGCAGGGGAAGGGAAGGGAGGCCTTGTGAGCTTAGCAACCTAGCAGATGCTTCTTTCCACCTCAGTTGCCCCCGGGATTGTAGTGGACCCCAAGCCCACAACCACAGACATTGGCTCTGACGTGACCCTCACCTGTGTCTGGGTCGGGAATCCCCCACTCACCCTTACCTGGACCAAGAAGGACTCGAACATGGTAAGACTCTCTCTTCCTGTCCCGAGTGCTGGGAGGAAGGCACAACCACTGACTACAGCAGGGGCAAGGGGCGGGCCAGGGTTCTTTCTCACTGGGGATAACACTGGGATCTGGGGATGTGAGAAGGACAGCACTTGCCGCCAGGGTCCACCCCTTCATGAACAGGACAGCTGGCCAGTGAGGGGCCATGGGAGGGAGAAGCCGGTGGTCTGTGCATGGACATCAGTGAGGAGGGACAAGGACAGGAGGCCCGAGGTGATGCCTTGCAGTGGCAGAAAGAGCTGGTGAACTAACGAGGCATAGGAAAGTGGAGAAGCAGAGATGACTCCAGCGAGAGACCAGCTAGACCCCATGGGCCTAGAGACCCATATTTGGCAGTTGGGGCCAGAATAATAGGAAGAAGAATTACAGAGTAAGCCATCATCTGTTGGCATCCAGAACACTAGAACAGGTTACTGGGCTCGGTGGCGCATGCTTGTAATCCAGCATTGGGAGGCTGAGGCAGGAGGATCCTTGTGAGTTTAAGACCAGCCTGGGCTACAAAGTGAGCTCCAGGTCCGCCTGAACTGCATAGTGAGACCCTGTCTCAAAACACTAGA